CCGCGCCCACCGTGCGCAGCTGAGCCCGCGCCGGGCCGCGCCGGCTTCTTCCATGCGGGCGGCGCGGGCCCTGGGAGGGGCGTCCGCAGCCAGCAGCGCAGCATGCACTGGGGGGTTGGCTTTGCCTCGTCCAGGCCGTGCGTGGTGGATCTGAGCTGGAACCAGAGCATCTCCTTCTTCGGCTGGTGGGCCGGGTCCGAGGAACCCTTCTCCTTTTATGGGGACATCATCGCTTTCCCTTTGCAGGATTACGGTGGGATCATGGCAGGGCTGGGCTCCGATCCCTGGTGGAAGAAAACCCTTTACTTGACTGGGGGAGCTTTGCTGGCCGCAGCTGCGTATCTGCTCCACGAACTCCTGGTCATTAGGTGAGCCGGAGAGAGGGCCCCGCTCAGGGGCACTTAGAGGGGCACCTGGCCCGGACAGGGCTGGCGTGAGGGGGACCTGTGCCCGCCCCCAGATGATGCTGGTACCTTTTCCAAAAGGCAGGCTGTGCACATCTGGCAGTGAGGGGCAGTTCCGAGTTAATAGAATAAAACTGGTACTGGGAGGAAAAACATTTGTCTCTCAACCTTTCCGTGCTAAAAGCAAAAAATCCTCAGGGTCACTAATTATTCCAGCAAAGTAATCTGTTATGATTTTTTTTTTTTACTAAAATCTTAAATGCAGTGTGTTTTCCACAACAGTAAATACTAAGCTCTGTAGAAATAATTGCGCTCCACTTTTAAAAAATGCCTTGTTTATAGGTAGCAATGTGGTGTGTGGTGTGCAGTTTTGATGCAGTGCTGCTTGTGTGGTTAGCTAGTGTGTAAAGCTCATCACCATCTTCAGGTTTGAATGTCATTGTTGTGTGAGCAATAAGGGAGCTGGGCACAGGAGCAGCACATGGGCGTGTTTGACATAACAGGAGTCTCCCAGTGCCATAAACAGTCAATCTCCTGCTGCAGAATGTTTACAGTATGGACTAGGAAATAACTGAAAATGGAGGCTCCTGCTCTTGGTACACCTCCCTGAACACCAGATCATTGCTAGAGTAAATATTGTATGGTCTTGGGAAGGCTGTTTGGCTAATTGAGACATTAATTTAGGGTCAAAATTTCCATGGCTTTAGTCTTCAGGCACTGGAAGGTTACCATAAGCAGAGCAATTTTCAGTAGCCAGGAAGTCTCTGTGGTCAGTGTTTTCTAATGAGCCCGTACTGTATCCACCCTGCTGCTCTCAGTGGGGGAAACCTACACAATAGCAATAAACAAAGGCAGGGAGAGGTGACCTTTAATAGGTCGACTAGGACTCCAGGAGCCATGGGACAGCTGATCTTAGGTATTCCTAGTCTCAGAGGGTCTCATTTTGTCTGGAGACATATAATGCCTTTTATGTGATTTGCTCATAAATAGGAAGTTTTATTTTAAGCATAGTACACATTTGATTCTTTTTACCCATCAGGGTGTCATGTTTCTGGTGGAACCAGATTACTTTTCTAGATTATATTTGTCCTCATTTTAGAACTGTATTTCAAATAGATTTCAAATTACTTGGAAGACTAACATATTTGTATAGTTATTTAGATGAGAACTCAGTACCTTGGTTATATCCCAGTCCACAGTTCTTTGAGGATCTGAAATCATGTGACTTCTTACCAGTTTTCCACTCTGTGGACGGAATGAAGACATGGTTATATAGGACTGAGTCAGAAACATGATTTAAACGACCTTGAAGAAACAGCTGGTAGCACAGAGATCACTTTGGGACAGGCCACACCCTAGGAGGCTCTGCCCTCTGTGTCTCCTTCCCCATTTAGAGCATTTTCATTGGAAGACAGTTTGGATTAAGGTGATTTAGGCCCTTGATTTATTGCCTTCTGTCTTTTGACAGTTGTTAAAAATGAATTGGGAAACCGTGTTGTAATGTGTGTAGTAACAAAGGCATTTTTCAGCACAGAGTGCTGCTGTTGTTAGGTGCTGTGGAGTACTCTATGAGCCAGGGATCTGAACTCTGTCCTGTCCTATGCCTTTGTCATATGCCTCTGCCATACTTGAGTCCATTGCTGCAGTCACAGTGTCAGTCCTCACTGGGTACCTTTCTCTCTTTTGCTGATCCCCCAGCTTTCTAAACATGATGTCCTTCTGTAAAAAATGTCTTCTCCTAACAACATGTCCTAAGTGTGTGAGCACAGAGTAAAAATCTACTTTGCACGTGTTCTTGCAACTAGGCTTCTGTCCTGACTAGCCTTCTCTCATAGCAGTATTTCTGTCAAACTGTCCTTGATGACTGTTCCTTCCATCACAGCTATCCTTTGAGCCATGATCCCCATTTTATAGATAATGAAATTGAGGTTGAGGAAGGGTAAACGATTTGCCCAAGATCACACAGGAGTGGAGGAGTAGAATGCAGGTGCAGATGTGGGAATGAGGACCCCAGCATATGCACTTTGTTGCCTCCGCCCCCTGGGAAATACCAGTTCTGAAATCAGTTTTGATGGAGAAGATGGAGAGAAAGAGTTTAGGGCATGCCTCGGGGAAGATGGCATGTAGTAGGGGTGAGAGGCTGAGTCTGAGATTCTGAGGATGCAGGAGAAGGAGGGAGGAAAACTGATAACTGAGGCTTCTAAGATTCCATGTTGTTAGGTGTTATCGAGTTGATTATGGTGCATGAACAGCAGATCCGAACCTTGCCCTATCCTGCTACCCACCACCAAATTGAGAGAAAACTCTAAGCTTTGAGTGTTTGTATAGTTTAGGCAGCAATCAAACATCCCATGCTGAAATCTGAAATATGTAGTTAGGAAAATAACTGAAATGCCTATTTTATCTAAATTCTCTGTTAGCTGCACGCTTTTACACCACCACATTTTTCTGGTGTAGACTTAATCTCTTGAGCTCTGGGGGTCTCGTGGTAAGAAGCTGCGCTGCAGTCCCAAAGGCACGCTAGAGAAAGATGGGCATTCTCCTCCTACGTGATTCACTCCCTGCTGGAGGGTCATCTATGGGTCGGTTCCAATTTGATGGCACACTGTAACAACAGACTTAAGCTAAGACAGTGTCTACACAGTAGAAAGTAAAGCTGACAAGTGAAAATTACATAGGAAGTTTAATTAATGGGCGTAACATAACCAAGGTAGATATTTTTCCGTCTTGTGAATGTTTGTTTCCATCACAATATTTTAAAGTTCATATTGTGCGAGCCTGCTACTTTGTTCTCCGTGGAAGAGCTAGCTGTGTACTCTTAATTCTATCAGGCATTTAGAAATTTGTCGATTGTAAATAGAATGACTAACTAATTACTTCATTTGCTCTTCTGGGATTCAGCAAATTTAGGGAATCAGAGCTGCCATGGGATCATCATCAGGTCTTCATAAACTAACAGCTCATTGACCATATGCAAAAGCATGACCATTGTGATCACAGCCAGGAGTGTCATTGCTAGTCGTGCTGCTCAAAAGGAATTCTCTCTTGTAACTCTCATATGAGCATTTTATAAACTATGCTGTTGTTTGCTGTCGAGTCAGAACTAACCCAAAGCTGCCCTCCAGCAGGTTTTGCGCAAGAGAAGATTGCCCACTCTTTTCCCAAGGAGCAACTGGTGGATTCAAACCATGTGCTTTTGGGATTGTAGCACAGTTTCTTACCACTAGGCCACCAGAGCTCTTAATTCACTGATGCCTTGGATCTTAAATTAGAGGTTTCTTACCATGATGGGAGAACTCTGGACTTGTTTGTCTGGGCTCACATTTAGGGTCTACCTTTAACCAACCGTGTAACCTTAGATATCATAGTAAACTTTTTGTTTACTCAGAATCCTTATCTGTAAAATGGGGATAATAATAGTAACTTTCCCGATGAAGTTGATGAAAAGAATTAACACATGGGAAATCCTTAAATATATGACATGAATCCTTATTGAAAATTGGCCATCGTTAGCTGTTAAAATGTTCAGAAGGTTCTCTTAGGCTTAAGTGGTTTTAGTCAACTGTTAATAAAATCAGCTGAGGAGTTTCCAAGTGTTTACACATTTTGGAACTAAAATAAACACAGTCTTGATCTTGAATTGATATTCCTTGGGCAAATTATTTAATCTATTTGAACTTCAGTTTCCTTGTCTACAGTAAAATATTAGTGTAATATACTAAGTTTAAGCTGTAACAGTAATTATTTCATAGAATTATTATCGGAATTATTTAATATGTGTGATATGTATAAAGTTATTGTTATATACTTCCTAGCTAGCATCCATTCTGATAGGACATAATCCAAATTATCAATTAGAATTGTCAGTAGAGGAGAGGGTTATATTTACCGTTTTCAGTTCTTTAATGTCTGCCTGGAAAATTTATGTGAAAATACCCTTTTGTGAACGGAGTCATTTGGCAGGACACAGGCTCTCTGTAGGAACATGACTGTGAACAGTTTCTTGACTTGGTAATATCTGACTTTTCCCTTTGGAATGAAAACTTTCATGTTATTTTATTGAATACTGCCAGAAAGCAGTATTTTTAAAACCTGACTTGGGAGGATCAGTATTTTTAAAATATACTTAATTCTATAAGTAATTTTTAAAGGAGCCTTGGTGATATAGTTCATTAGGCTGCCAACCAAAGTTTCAGCAGTTTGAATCCACTGGCTACACTACAGGAGAAAATGGACAAGCCCTTCCTGTTAAAGACTTACAGCCTTGGAAACATAATTGTGAGTTGTTTTCAGGTGAACTGACTTGACCTCAGTGAGTTAGTCAGTTAAGTAATTTTTAGTTCTTTAAGCTGAAAAGGCTTAAAGGCATTTGAGTAAATGGTAAACTCTGGAAGTTTCCATTACTAAGTATGTTTACATAATTGAGTAGATATGTGATGATTATACAATGAATTAAGTGGCCCAGAAGCCCAAGAAGGTCAAGGATAAGAATGAGGTTTATTTAACTGAGAAATGTTTAGGTAGAGTGAAAAATGGCAAGTGTATATCTAAATAAGGTTGTATGAAATGATGAAATTTTGTGCCATATCTTTGGATGAAAATAAATCTTGACATTCACATGGTTCTTCATAGCTTGGTGAGTCTATCACCCAATTTAATCCTCACTGGCTTCAATACACTGCCCTCACCTGCCAGGTGAGGAAGGAGGCAGGATGGCCAGTGAGCAGCAAGATTTGGACTTGCCATCAGGTGTCTAGGGTGTTCAGCTTTGGAATCCAGATACATGGTTGCTATTGAAAAATGTTACCCAGGGAGGTTCTTCCCCCTACCCCTTAAAAGGTATCCAAGATGCTGTGTGGTTCAGATAAAAGATAGGGGAAAAGCAGGGTTATTAAGATATATACTGTGAGATTAGAGAGCCTGGAAGTCACCACAGGTGAAAGGGCAGGTGAGGACACAGCAAGTTGGAAGAGGGACCATGATAATCAGGTGGATTTCCTGCAGACCTTGGTTGTAACTGTGCAGGTCTGCGCTGCTATTCTTGGGTCCTGGGATAAAGAGGCTGTCTTATGGTGTCTAGTGGTCAACCAAGTGGGCTCTGATTGCTTAGTTTACCCACTTCATTTCTGCCATTTACTAGAAGTGTGATTTTGGGCAAGTCAAACCTTTGTGCCTCAGTTTCCTCATCTATAAAACATAGATAACAACAGTTCCTACTTCTTAAAGGTCATTATGAAGATGAAATGAGATAATACTTATAGAATGCCTGCTACATGGTAAGCTCAGAATATAATTTTTAGCTCTCCAAACTGTCAGGTGAACATAGCAAACTGGAGAAGAAATGGACCCATGCCCTCAAATAGTCTTCTGACCCATTCACTATAGATAACATGAAGTTGAAGTGGAGTTACCTTTTATAAGCCCTGTATTCACAGCACTGTCAGAACTTCTAGGTTCACTTGTGTGTGCATAATAGTTTCTGTTTTTGTTATTGAAAATATACAAAGCAGAATATACAATTAAATTTTTTTAACATATATAGTTTAGTGACATTGATCATCATTCAAACTGAGCAGCCACTCACCCTTTTCTGAATTGTTCCTGTCTCATTAACATGAACTAACTCATCACCCTCTTCAAAATTTCTCATTTAATCCTTCAAGTTGCTGTTACTTTGATTTTATATAGATACAGCTTGAAGGGTCACATGATGCTCAATGCAGATATTCTTCACTATTTAAACGAAATTCTTGTTTGATTTAAAGGAGAATTTATTTTTGGTTTAAAGATTATAAAAGCAGTAGTTTGGGGGCTTCAAACAGCCTCCATGGCTCCAGAATGTCCAGGTTTCATGAAAAGTTGCAATTTTGTTCTATATTTTCTCCCTTTTGATCAGGGTTCCTCTATGGAATCTTCGATCAAAATGTTCAGGAATGGCAGTTGGGCTCCATTCATTCTGGTTTCATGAAATCAGAGGCAGTTTTTCGTGGAGACAATTAGGCCATATTTCTTTTCTTGCTTCTATTTCTGACCCTCCTTACTCTGATTATCCAGAGGAATAGAATTCTTCTGTGTTTTGATGAAATTTACATTTTGTAAATATTTCTTGGCGAGCCCTGTGCAAATCTATTTATTCACTGAGGGTTCTAAGTTAGCCCAACAAGGTCTTCTCAGGAACAAGGGAACTGTACGAATAACCCATGAATTGTGCTTTATTTCTATTTTGGTTTTGACAGGAAACAGCAAGAGATTGACTCCAAAGATGCTATTGTTTTGCATCAGTTTGCGAGGCCTAACAATGGTGTTCCCAGTTTGTCTCCTTTCTGTTTGAAAATGGAAACTTACTTAAGGATGGCTGACTTACCCTATCAGGTATATTATGGGCAAGTATGTTTTGTTACTGTGACAGCAGTGTCTGTCAGAGGAAGGACTATTTAATCTCACATGGTGGCACTAGTGGGGGGGGGGGGGCGGAGTATGAAAGAGCTCACAGTCCGCGGTAAGATACTTGACTTAGGATCTGGTTATAAAAGGATTTTTGAGCACTTCAGGGTCATGGTATTAGCTCCCGATATAGACTATATTGGGGTTGATAGTTTGCTACTAGTTATTGTTGAGCTGGTAACAAGCTCATGTGTGGCGTGTAGAACTGCGACATACAGGTTCCAAGGCTGTGGCCTTTCAGAAGCAGATTGCTGGACCTGCCTCCCTAAGTGCCTTTCGGTGAGTTCAAACTGCCGATTTTTTGGCTGTTGGTAGGGCACTTAAATATTTATACCACCAGGGACTCGTGGGTGCCATCGAGTTGAGTACAAAGACCTGTTTGTTAGGTGTCACTAGGTTGATTTTGACTCTCAGCAACTGAGAAGGGAGCTTTGCTCAGTTCTGCCCTCTTCACATTCATGGTCTGGATAACTGAGTGGCTGATTTTTTAAGCCTAGGGTGGTGCCATTGCCTGCTGTGTTTTTCCCTTTAGGTTTTTATTTATTGACCAAATTCTGTTTTGTCTTTTTGTGAATCCTAGCGGCAGAGGCCTCCGTGGGCCTTTGGATAGTTATTTGTGGATTTTTCTTGAGAGTGTTTTCAGTGTTCCAAGTTCTGTTTGAACATGTGGGAAACACTCTTTTCAACATTAAAGAGTGAACAGAGAAGTGTATTTGAGTGTATAAATTTATTTCAGAGTAATGCTATACACATGTCTCATAGATGTGATGTTTTATTTTTGTTGTCATTCATATCTATGTATTTTTTTAAAATTTTTATTTATTTATTTTATATGTGTACCGTCAAATTGGATCTGACTGGTACAGGAGGCGATTGTTCCTCCTTCTTCAGCAGAGCATCTGGTGGATTTGAACTGTGCACCTCTGGGATTGCAGTGCAATTTCCTGCCCCTAGGCCACCAGAGCTCGCCATTTCTATGTATTTTAAAAAGTACATAATATTTTTCCTTTTAACAGTGTTCTAGTGAGATAGGATTTTTAAAAAGGTTGATTTTGTTAGTGATTTCTGATTTTATGATCTGAGAAGTTAGACTCTATGGTATTGATTTCTTTGAACTGACTTAGTTGTTGGTCTAGTGGATCATTAATTTTTGTTGTTGTTATGTGCCGTAGAGTTATTTTTGACTCATAGCGACCCTATGTACAACAACCCTAAGCCCTGCTCTGCCTTGTGCCAATTGCCCTGCCTCTGACACACCCATCCCGATTACCTCAGTCACTGAATCAATCCACCTCATACAGGGTCTTCCTCTCCTGCACTGTCCCTATAATTATATAATCTCTGATTTTTTTTGTTTTTTTTATTTTATTTTATTATTTTTTGTGCATGTACCGTCAAATCAGATCTGACTGGTACAGGAGGAAATTGTCCCTCCTTCTCCGGCAGAGCATCTGGTGGATAATCTCTGTTTTGGTTGGGAGCTTTCTCCATATCTACTTACTTGAACACACTTGTAGTATTTATACCTTCTTCTCATACTCTAGAAGTTTCTGAAAAGAGTGTGGTAAACAGTTAAGTGTGTTTGTTGTTTAGCTCCTCTGTCATTCTGTCAGTTGTTACTTTATATAAGAGTATATATTTGAAATGATGTTTGTGTGTATAATATGAAAGAACACATCTTTTACTCTTGTTTCTTTTTCCAATATATTGCACTATTTTTTGTCCCTTATGATTTAAGACAATCCTTTAATTCTATATTATCAGATATGGGATTGTTTTCTTAGCTTTCTTTTGGTTCATATTTGCTCATGATCTCTTTCTCTACACTTTTGGTTTTAGTTCAGATTTTTTTTTTCTATAATTATATTTTATTAATTTTCATAAACATTTACAGAG